AATAATTTTTTATTTTTATTTTTTTACTGTTGGGGGGGCTGCGGCGAAATATCTGGGGTCTAAATAGACCCCTAACATTTCCCTTTTTAAATAGAAAAGAAACTGAGGACACAAAGTCCTCAATTTCCTTTTCTTCAGCCTCAGCACTCAATGAATGGGAAGCACTCAGTACAGAGGTTTCCCATTCATTTAGAAACTGAGGATGGTAAAATATTTTACTATCACCAGTTTATGAATGGGGAGGAGCCTCTGTACTGAGTGCTTCTCCCCATTGAGAAATCCATGAATGAACAGGAAGTGATGTAAATCACATCCTGTTAATTCATAACTGGGGACACATTGTATTATGTGTCCCCAGTTATTTACAAACATTGGAGTGATCAGACGATCAGTGTTTGTTCCGCACACACAGAGGATCGGTAAATGTCACACACAGCTGCTGTCATCCTGAAACTGACAGAGAGATGCAGAGAGATCAGAGAGATCCACTCGCCGAGAGATCAGCGTCCCTGGTTACCAGGTTACCAGGGATGCCATCTGTCATTACACACTGAGAACCCGTTGAGGCCGCTATGATATCACAACGGCCTCTCCGGGTTCTCAGTGTGTAATGACAGATGGCGTCCCTGGTTATCTGTCCCTGGTTGGCTGATCTGTCATTACTCTCCCGAACGCTCTGGGAGTCTAATACGACTCCTGCCGCCCAGGAGAGAAACGCTCTCTCCCGTGAAGGTTTACTCTGCTCGATCGAGCAGAGTAAACCTTTCCTTGCAATCTGTTTTTTTTTTTCTGACATGGGGCCGCTAGCTCCGCCCAACTATTTTCTATTGGCCGGGCGGTTCTGCTGCCGTCAGAATAATTAGCAATTTTGTAAAAACCACCATAGGAATGCATAGCTGGATTCCTATTGGCTATTTTACTTTACAATAGCAAACTAGCTATTGCACCCGCCCACTGCTGTCAATCAGGAGAGGGGGACCTGCAGTTCTCCATCAGGTCTCCTTCTGGTGATTGACAGCAGTGGAGGGCGGGTGCAATAGCTAGTTTGCTATTGTAAAGTAAAATAGCCAATAGGAATCCAGCTATGCATTCCTATGGTGGTTTTTACAAAATTGCTAATTATTCTGACGGCAGCAGAACCGCCCGGCCAATAGAAAACAGTTGGGCGGAGCTAGCTGTCATTGCTAGCTCCGCCCAATCATTTTCTATTTAATTTTTTCTACTTCTTTAACTGGTTTTCTATTGTGCTCGGTACCACAGAGGTACCGGGCAGAATAGCCGAGCCGAATGCCGCTCACTGCTGTTCGTCATCTATGAGAATAGGCCGAACAAGAGCCTTCACTTCGGGTCGGTTATTCACTCGGCTGCCTACGGCAGCTTAGTAAATAGACCCCAAAGTCTTATAATTTGGACAGGCTGAACCCCCCCTGGAAAAAAAATTATTTACGGCCCTGGCCTTACAGCTGAACTCTGGGAACAAAAACGTTTATTTGAATATATTCCTCTATATCTACAAGGGATATAAATCCACTTTGTGTGCACCAAATCTCTTTGCAAACCCAGTAATCATCAGTGGCATCATTACTGTGCTGTTCATAGCCTGTGAAGAGAGCAGAGGTGTAGACGGCACATAGCAGGCTCCACCTACTACAGACTACCTGTAAAAAACTGCAGGAGCGGGCGGATACAAGACCAGTCACCCTGCACAAGGAGAGAGAGCAGCATTGACTGGTCTTCATTACAGGAAGTTCCTGCACACAGGTAAAGTTTCACACTGGATGACTGTACAGATCTGAAAGAAATACACAAAACACACTAAGATTCAAGTAATAATACTCCTGTATTTAGACAATATTTATTCATCCCGGAAGACAGCATTTATGTCTTCTTTAAATGCCTTAAAAAAAAAAAAATCCTTCTATCTTCAGCCTTTATTCGCCTCCTCCCATGTGACTTCAGAGCCACAGGTGCCCTTGGCTAGTTACTGCTTTGACATCACCCAGTCACCTGTGACTTGTCATTCTCCCTGTCGTGTTCTGCCGCAACACTTTAAGCACAATTGCTCTTTTTTTACTGCGTTTCTTCGAATGTTACATGAAAAGTTCAAAGACTTTCCTATGCATGGAATTAAATCCCTTGTTAATGCATATTGGATGCTTAATCCTACTAACGCCAGCAGCACCAATATCTGAATCCGGGAACCTTCAATGACCATCTGACTCTGAACGGATTAGCCGGCCTCTTTTAATTTGATTTGTTTTAGTT